AGATGGACTGCCACCACGAGCTGGCACATGCCGTGCACGAGCATTGCCCGGCCTCGGAGTATCACCAATCTGCAGGAGGATGGAATGGCTTCAACATGAAATTTGCCCGGGTTCTCCTGAACCTCTGTGAGACCCACGGAATCCACGGAAAGTCGACAGCCCAGCTCGTGGACCTTGTCCACGAGCACTGCGCGAAGGCCGCGCTGGATCGGGCCGAGTTGCAGATCGTCGTGTAGAGGTCCTCGTGATGTTTCGTGCCGATTTTGGACCTATGCATTTATTGTCTAGGTAATTTGCAGCTGCCGCTGCTTGGCTGTCCGCCAAGCGATCCTTCGTTTGGCGGTTCAAGGCTTCAATTGCAGGCCGAACAATCTACGAGTTCCAGCAGAGCAGAGCCGGGTGAACCTGCGTGTACTTGGCACCGACCACCCTTCTGAAAAAGAGCTTTGTTAAAGTTGTCGGAGTGCTGAGAGGCTGCCTAGCCTTAAGTCGGCGACACGCTCCTCAGGCGGCTGCCCTGGCTCTCCTTGCAGAGGCGCAGCACTGACAGACGCAGAAGCAGATGCCATGGCTGGCCATTTCTGGATGTTTTCCTTTCCTTCGTCACATTGGTAGGAGCAGCCGTCGCATCGGGGGCCGGTGATTCTTTTGTGCCCATGCCCGAGGTTCGCCACGCCAGGCCCCCGACCAGAACGGTGTAGCTGGGCCCAACCCGGCCTGACTCGTGCACCAGATTCCGCAAGTATGTTGAGCAGACTGAGTCGCGCAGTGCATGCCTGGCTTCCATCGTCGTGGTGTTGCCAGGGAAGAGTTCCATCTCGTGGTCCCCGTGGCTTCAGACGCGGCAGAAATCTTTGCCAGATGTGGGGACCAGAGGAATCAGGTCTGAACGGCAGAATGTGGGCTCTGTCATTTTCTTGCATCCAAAGAGGGCAAACTTCAAGTCTTCGTGGCGTTCTCTTCCTGGTTCAGTTGTCCTTGCTACAGATGATTCCAGTTGCGGCGCACGGTATCTGACATATGACATGTCTTGTCTTTAAGTGTCAATGCACGTACAGCACCCGTTTATTTGGTAGGCAGCTGCCCTACATTCGGCTGCCTCCGCTGCCTTGCCGGATTCTCAGACTCTCAGATCATCTCCGATCAGGAATCCGCCGCTCCTGTGCATGTTTCGAAAGTGTGCGGCGGCGTTTTTGCAGGTTCCTGCATGTCTGATCTGAGAAAGTCCGGGTAACAGCAGATGATCACGGCCTCAGCTCTAGTCCACGACGTCATGACACGCTTAGGGCTGCAGATCGTGCCACGGATGCCAGACGTCTGGCAGCACAGGCGCAGGCAGCTATGGAGCAGGGAAAGTGAGGCAAGCGTTTATGGAGATTTGGTCAGATGGCAGGACGTGCTACGATCGCTGTCAGACCGGGCACGTGAGGCACGGGCCAGGGAAGGTGCCTGCTCTGAGCCCCGTGGCCCCCGTGGCAGGTTTCAGCTCGAGGCATCGTAGTTCAAGCAGAGGTCGCTTTGGGCAACTCCGAGAAGGCGCCGGGCTTTTTGCTGGCTACCTCTAGTGGCTCTAGTGCATCCCTAAGTGTGCGTGTCCGCTGCATGATTGCCTTGTGACTTGTGAATCGAGAGCATTGATTGCTTACTATCCGCTGTGCTGGATGTGGCTGGGCAGGCTTTGGAAATCGCATCCGAGGGCCTCGTGGCGATGCAGCAGCAGGGAGACCATTTGTCCCTCGCAGAGGCACGTTGTAAAGCCACATGTTGCGAGAAGCTGCTCACACGAAGGAACAGCATCGTAAATTACACGCCTGTTTGCATTGCTGCTGGCCAAGCGCCCAGAACTATATGTGCAGCATGTCACGGACACGAGAAATGACGGCAGCGAACAGCTTTCCAAGATTCCAAGAACGATAACAACGTTCACGCTCAGACTTAGTTTCGCTTTATAGTCACACCTGCTGCCTGTGGTCGCACGAGAGCTCTCACAGACTCTGACGCCTACAGACCTCCGAACTCTCAACTGCCCGATTTCCGGAGGGGCGTAACAAGTCATCTCACAGGTGCGATTGACCTGCGTGGGCTCTGACTAGGACGGTCTTACACAAGCTCGAAACTGCTCGTCTCCGTTTGACAGTTCAATCGTGAGATGGTACAAGTTGGTGGTTTCGAGGCCTTCAAAGGTGCCTTCCAACATCCACTGCACAAATGCGAAAATCCGAACTCGAGAATAGCATGCTATTGCAGCCGTGTTGTCGGGAACAGCCATCCAACGAAGCCAAACAGCAAGCGTCAATCTCAGATGACTTGCAGCACTTGCAGAGCAAGCTGAGTCGAGTCCAGCTTAATCGCCAAGCACGAACCAGAACTCCTACACGTTTGCCGAATTTTGCTCTGTGGTGACTCTGCGTGTGTAAAGGAAAGCTTTTTGGTGCTGGAGTTGGGGTCCTGTCCATGTAAAGCGGCGATGCAGGCACACAGGCACATCGCAGCTGCCCAGCTTGCCTCAAGCCTGCACGAGGAGGCCAGCATCTCCAGAGCGTTCGATTTGGCCCTCGCCATGAGATCTGACTACATGGGGGTTTCCGAAAATAGGGGACCATAACATAGTACCCCAAATAGTAGGACCTTATTATAAGGACCCCAAGATAAGGTACCCCTTCTTTTCGGATATCCCCACATGGGCCATAACCTCGAGGCTCGCCAGTCGGCCATGGCAGCGCCCAGAGCTTGGTTTCCTGAGAGCTTGCTTTTGCCACGACCAGCCTGACGCCAAGGCGAAACTGCTCCGAACGGTTGCTGGGCACCAGGAAGTGGGAGTGCAAGGCACTGTGCAGAAATTGGCAGAAATTGGCTCAAGGGTCCAGGGTTGCCGAAGCTGATCTGCCCAGCCAGCACAGATATGCATGTGGGCTCGGGACATCAAACAGCACGGGCTGAGATTTCGCGACCAATGCTTTACAGGCTGATGCCCTCGAGATGTTGGCTGAGCGCGATCCTCAGCCTGCGCTGTGGTTTGACATGTGCTATGCGCTTTTAGGAGTTGCTGTGATAAATCAGCTTGTGCATGTGCAGAGCGGCAGGGCGTGTGTAGCCAAGAACTCCAGCAAGGATCTGCCGCCAGACCAAAGACTTCCAGGCCTCCCGGTCTCGAGCAGCCAGGGCAGTAGAGGCAGCTTCTATCTTCTTGGGGTCGGCGGGGGGTCGAGCACAAGCGCAGCGGCAGTCCATGTTCATCAAAGGACGAACCGTGACCATGACATTCTGTGGCGGACACGGATGCTGAGGCCATGACGCAAGCCGCCGAGGAGGGACCGGACCCACTGGTAACAACAAGTCTGTATGTGATGAAGAATTACAGGAGGAGTGATGATGGTTTTCATCGCAGCAACACGAGACTTGTAATTTAAATAAGCATGGTAGCATCAATGACGGCAGCACCGAGCAACACTAACGTCGAACCGTACCGAAGATCGTCATCGTTGTCGTCGTCTTAGAATTTGAATAAGTTAGTGATAGAAGATCAAGAAGAAGCAGTAGCAGTAGCGGTTGCGCTAGCAGCAGGAGCAGCAGCAGCAGCAGGAGCAAAACCAGGAGCAGCAGCAATAGTCGTGGTAGCAGTCATAGGAGTCGCGGTAGTCGTAAGGCGTAGCAGTAGGAGTAGGAGCAGGAGGAAAAGCAGGAACAGGACCAGGAGCAGTCAATCCAGCAATGATAACCTGGTAACCAAATGTACCGAAGCGAACCTAACGCGGTCAGGAAGTAGCATCATACCACATTTAGCAGTAGGAGAAGAAACGAATGTGATCACATATCGTCATGATAGTGTTCCGTTCGATGATTGTCGCAGACTTGCTTACCAGCAATCATGAACGTAATGCTGCTACAACTGATGTTGTACAGGATGAAAGTAGTGAACACAAGCGTCAGAAGAGGAGCTCTGATAATGCCTGCAAACAACGCACAGGCTACGGCTTGTGTGCATTAGCTTCCAGGAGCTTGCGCAGTGCTGCCGTGAAGCTGCGTGGCCTCGGCGTGAGGCAATCTCCTCTCCCTATCCTCCCTCCCTCGCTCCTTCCTTACTTCCGCCCCCTTTGTTCTCGTTCTGTCGCCATTCCCTCCCTCCCTTTTCTTTGGTTGTCTGTTTTGCCACTTTTTGTTCTCTCTCTCTCTCTCTCGCTCTCTCTCTCTCTCCCTCTCTCTCTCTCTGCATGCTGCAGCATCTTTTTTCTGGTCAGGCGCTGGCACTGCGCACTGTTACACGTGGCAGGAAGCTCAAGCTGAGAATCGTCCCAAACGCAGCTGCGTCGAGTGATATAGCTGTGGCTGTTGTAAATATCGGCTCAATGTTGGGATCCAGCAAAGCGATTTTGACGTATTTTGAGTTTGCTTTGCAGAGACCTTGGTCCTTCTCAGTAGGCCTTTCTTGATTGCATTTGAAGGCCAGTTGGCTTTGCGCAAGCCGCGCAGCGCGCTGGAGGCAGCAGGGCGGGTGTGGATCTGAGCCAAGTCAATTTGCACGGATTCCCAACGATTCAGAAGAGAAGTATGTGCTGGACACCCAGGCCATGACTCTGTTCCGCGAGACCGGAAACAGTTCAGCAGCCGATGAGATGCGACTTCTGTTCGCGAGGGTGTCCCGACTGAGTCCGTGCAGATGAGATGTGATCTCAAAAGTTCCTCGAGTGAACGACGGGTTCCACCAGCCACTTTCAGGCCACGGAGCTTCGAAATAACATGCGCGATGCAGCTCGCAATGCCAGACAGGCCTCGCTTGTTTGACACTGGCATGTCCTCTAAACTCTAAATGTCCTCTGAATCCTTTAGCCTAGTCATCTGAGTGAACTGCGATGGGAAATCACAATTTTAGGCTGGAGATGTGTTGGGCAGGCATGGCTTCTCTTCCGCGAAAGAGGTGCTCTGGGTTAAGATTGAAGAATTGAGTTGTTACAAGAGGCTGCATATTGAAGCACGAGTGGGATCTCAGTGCGAGGTCGTCTCTGTATCTGCAGTGGCAAAATGCTGCAGTGAATGGCCTGCAAAGCAAGAAGCCGTACTTGGCTTTGATCTCTGTGCGAAGAATGAGCCTATCGAGCCTCTGCTGACGCAGAGCGCTGATGATTGGTCAGTCTGGTCAGTGCTTTGCCATCTTGTTCAAAGTGACCAGACGACGAAATCGCTTCGTAGCAATGTAGCCTTCAGGTGACCCGAGCCTGCTGTTCCAGGCGGCCAAGAATTGTCGTGTCCTCGGAGCAGAATTCTGACTTTTGATAATGCTGCTACGACTAGGACGAGACAATACGTCTAGGAATGACCATCATCATATCTGTGTCATCGTAGTGATGTTGACTTGGCTGCATGATTCTTCGAGAGGAGAAGCCAGTCGGAAATTTCAGGCCACGACGCTCACCACATGTTCGACGATGAGAATGTTCTCATTCTGGAGAAGGTAAAGTGAGCTGCCGTCAGAGTCGAGGCAAAAGAGCTGTAGGGTGCAGCAACTCGCAGCTATGGTCTTTACGATTTTGCTGCTTTGTCGATCCATGCTGAATTTTGTGGACGCGTAGCTGGATCTGCGAACGTTTGGCTGCCAGCCGCTTTGCATCATGAACACGACCAACCTGCCTGCTCGAGAGCAGCAAGAGCCAGGGAGCTAGCTTTTTGGAGCTTTCCCAGCCACGCGTTATCGGTTTGGAATGACGTGGTATTCGAATGCCCTCCAAGACTTCAGCCCCAAGCAGGCAGCACAACCGCCAGCTAGTGCCACAACACACCGGTGCACAGATGGTCGTTTCAGGATGAGCTCCCCGCCTGCACAGGAGGCCGGACACCAAAAAGGGTATTTGGTCATACACCTGCGCAGCTCGGGGTAGGTGTTGCCCAACTCTACTGCACCCCTGAAAGGAGAAAGCCGTCAGCGAACCTGCTCGGAGCACAGTCGAGCGTAGAGCCTTGGTCTCAGACACGCCGAGAGCTCATGCTCCCAGGTCAGCGCTGCGGCGAAGGCAGAGAAGGCGCGGAGGGAAGCTCGGGAGGCTCTGGGGGGATCCGGTGCTGCGCTTTTTCAGGGACACACTCTTTGTAGGGCAGGTGGTCTTATGAAGAGCTGAAAACAAGTGTGTCATCTTTCATGAGACCCGCCGAGCAAGCACGGCATGTTCTTGCTCTCAGCAACTGTTTGAATATCAAGTCCTCCTTCGGTGGCCTTTACGTCTCCAAGCACTCGCCGTTCGCCCGCAAAGCTGCTGTATGCTCTGTTCACCACTTGTCGGAGCATGGAGTGACAGCTCCTCTGGACTGGAACTCGCCCCGGTTAGCCTGCTCCATATCCGCGGACATTGGGTGTGCGGCATACGGGCTGTAGACTCGACCCTCGCGATGAACTTAGGCCGATCATGTCTCCTCCTGAGATTGCCACCATTGCTGAGAAGGAGTCCGGCGCTGCCTTCGAGGCTTCCATGCTCTTCTGTCTTCTGTTGTCGGAGGAGTAAGTGACTTGCATGAAGCGAGGTGCAGATCAAGAGCCCCGGTTCCGACAAGCCTCTTGGTCATGGAAGACAGACTGGAGGGTTCTTTTGCCCCGCATGAGCCATTTTGTGTCACCGGCCGCGAGTCCGTGAGGTTGAAGACTGCCGCACGTCTCCGCTTGGAATCTTACGAGAAGAAGCCAACCACACAACTGCCGAACCTTGGAAGTGACTAAGTGACGGGCTTAACGGCTAAGGCTTAGGTGCATGAACTTTGGAGGTGGAAGGGAGACGGGGATCCGGAGAGGGCGACGCAACAAAGCAGCCCAGTGGCCCAGACTTCTCAATGCCTCGCCCGGTCGGGCCAAGCCCAGGACGCTTCTGGGTGCCCGCAACCCTGTTCCTCTGCTCAAAGAGCAGCGCGCCGACAAGGCAAGCTAGCTCATCTCGTTGTCGGTATGGCACCGCAGGCACAAACTTAGGCTTAGATAGACTCGCATCCGCAGAACTCCAGAAACAGAGTCTCCTAATGTCTCCTTCACCCTCCGCTTGGTCCAACTCTGGCCGTTCCAGCCAGGCTCGCCAAGCCAACGAGCAAAAGAAGGAAGCGGCTCAGCGCGTCCGTGATGAGTTCAAGCCTCCTGGCACCGATTCTGGTGCGCTGTTAGTTGAGGATTATGAGGATTGAAAGAGAATCTCAAGCTGCTCCGGATCTGAGGACATCGGCTGAAGCAAGGCAGAAGACCCTCGAGCAGCAGCTGGAAAAAGCCGGAGAGAACCGTGAAGGTGCACGCACAGAGGTATTTTTTGTGGATTCTGTGGATTCCTGAACATCCGACGGACTGTGTCTGTGCAGATGCCCGACAAACCCAGGCTTCTACTCTGTACCATGCACACGGGCTACACAACTGAATGTGCATCGCAACGAGAATGTTAACATCTACGGCAGGAGCTGGTTTGTATCGTTCCGAACACCTTACACAGCTTGAGCCCACATTGCTCAACAGTTTCAGTTTTAGGTGCCCTTGCGACCATCAAGAAGAAAGCGGCGCAGCACATCGAGAAGGCTAGCACAACCCCAAATGCTTTGCTTTGATGCCAGGTATGAAAAAATATGAAGCTGAGACTTTCTTGAGACAGCATAACTTTCACCTGAGTGGATCGCCGGTGCAGGTGATCGAGGTCAAGGACACGTCAAAGCAGAAAGGCCTGGGCGTTTGCCCATGCTTCCCATGTAGTGTCAATCAACAGGAATCTGTTCGGAGTTTGATTCGACATGATTTGGGTAGTCTTGCTGTTGTCGAAAGATCTTCGCAAGCGCCTCTTTTATACCAGCATCTGCAGTGGTCTTTGTCCATCTCGTCGAGGCAGCGCAGCAGCACTCAGCCGAACTTTCGGTCAACACTTCTGACTTGATCTATACTGCTTAGTCGCAGCCTTGCAATCTTCTAAAATCTCATGCAATCTGCATAATGACTGTGCGCGGTTTGCTCGGTTAAATAGGGAGGAACGATAGAAACTAGTAATGGATCGCTCTTTGCATTCATGCACTCAGGCTTTCTCGCAACTGCAGAATCATGATGACCGAACTTTCCCTGCAAGGCGAGATGACTGCGGAGGAGGCCCGCGAGCGCTTACAGCAGGCTCTGCTGAAGAAGGCCGCTCAGCCAACGTTTGCATGCTGTGCTGGCACTAGTACGGCTGGGAACTGAACTGTTTTGAACTCTAGACGGGCGGAAGCTTACCAAAGCTGTGGCCTGCAGTAGATCATTTGAAGAAGGAACGTCAACGCACATCATGTCACGACCATCTTCGAACTTTGTGCTTCCATTCCAAAGCAACTGCATTGGCAGTCTGACCTCCGCGGTGAGAAGATGAAGGAGATTTCGGCCAAGGCTACCAAGCACAATGAGGCTGTGGCAGACAAGGCCGCGCATGCCGCAGTTTCAGGAGTACAGTGAGACACGGAGAGGGAGAGAGGATAGGGTCGAAACAGGGTTCGCTGGATTGCAAGAAAGAGTCTGTCGAGGGTAGCACCGACTCTCGAGTGAGCAGTGCCTCAGCAGTAAAGTCTTCCCTGTTTCCGTGCCAGTGGTAGTAGTAGTCGTCGTGGTGGTGGTGGTGGTGGCGGCGGCGGTGGCGGCATCGCCAAGCCAGGAGCGGCGTCGGTAGAGGAAGACAGGCGACCAGGTTCAGTGCGAGCCGCGAGCCCGACTCGGGATCAGAGCGAAGTTGCAAGATGCCTAGGGAAGCTGTAGTCAAAGTTGGGTTGGCTTGTTGATGGAATTCAAACTTCAGCACCTGGGAGTTGGATGTGTGCCGGCCGTCAAATCATACCAGACGGCGGGCGGCACGAGGAGCGAGGATTTGGGGAGCACAGGCTAATCAAGGCCCCCAGGTTAGAATGATGTAAGTGTGATGTGTGTTGGTTTGGAAGGACACTCCGCCCGAAACACAGCTTGAGACAGAGAGAGAGAGAGAGAGAGCGAGCCCAATGAAAGAAAATAAAACAGTGGGTGGTCCTAGCGACCCCTAAGCCCGGCAGAAAGAAAAATATATTCAACTATCTTTTTCAACCGAGATCTTTTGCTGCTGGCGCTCTCAGTCCCTCCTACAGAGCCCCACGGGTGCACCTCCCGGCGCGGGGGCCTGACAAGTCCCCTATGCCCCGGAGACAAGACAAGACAAGAGATAGATAAATCGTTCCCTTCCTGGTTTGCTTCCGCTATCTTCCGCTCTTTCAACTCCAACATGGGGTGCGCTAATGCACCGGGGGGGGGCCATCCCCCTCCTCAAGCCTGCAGAAAGAAAGAAAGTTGCTACCCACTCTGGCTGTGCTGAAGAAGAGATTTAGTGGCGAGTTCTTACACGAGCTTTGTTGACTTGCTGCTGATGGAGGTGCTGCAGCACAAGGAGGCCGGCACACCTCATACGATTTGAGGGTCATAGGTGGGATGGAAGCACCACTCACTTCGATTTGTTGTTCAGGCCAAGGAAGGAGCATTGGAGGAGAGCTGGGCCCGCCCGGCATTGCACGGCACTTCTTGCTTATGGGGACTTTGCGGGGACTGCAACGTGTCAGCTTGTCTAGGAGCTGCGCAAGAAGACACCTGATGAGCGCCTGATGGACATGAGCTGCTTGGTCGAAAAGCGGCACCTGCAGTCGGCCTTGAGTATGGTCGGGTTTCGTACCGAGCCCAGGTCTGCGTCTCTACGAGTTGGACACCCAGAACTTTGGAAGAGTTAGCTACACGCAGCTGCACATTTCACCAAGGCGCCACTTTGTGGCCCACACTGCGCCTTGTGCTGCAGTTGGATTGCTCTCGTCGAAGCCGAAGTGTAATGCTCGATGTACAAGTAGTGTGACCCGAGGAGTGAAGGATCCTCATTGCCAAGACTGACAGGGCATGACAAGGCTCAGAGTCATGAGCGGTCGGAGGGTGGGCACGTTAAAACGATGGGGTTACCGCTCTGATAAATTCGTTCGTTAATGATTCGTTTCACAAGTAGCTTTCAGCTCTCCTTTTGTTAGTGCCCGCAAAACAACGCCAATGCAGCTGCATGAGAATTCAAATTTTGGTCGTTCAGGAGCAACGAGCTGTTTCTGTTGGGGTTGTGCCCTTTCATTTTCTAAGCTCCACAATCAGTCGGAGCAGAACCCCGGCAGGTAGGAGGTTGATGCAACTGCGCTGGAGAAACTTACAGCTCAGTTGGTCTGGTCGGGTGTGCCATTCGCTCGAGCATTGGTAAAGAATGGCTCCCCCTACCGACCGCATCTCAACATTAAAAGAGCCCAATGTACCTATACGCCACTTTAAAGGCATGCTTTAGAAGTGCAAGTGTTCAGAGTGCCTCTGTAAATTCGGGCTTCAAGAAGGAGGGCAACTCCGGTCCTGACTGTCCTAGTCTCCCCGAGTCAGCAGAGAAACACCTGTTGCCCATTTACGACGCAGAGGCCCAGTGTTTGAACTTGCCACAACAGTCGCAACAGTTGTGTTACTGTGGCTGGCATCTCTGTGCCGCAACACCGAACCCGAAGAATGAACTGTCCAGTGTTGCCGCAAACAGATGGCTTTGCCCAGGAGTGCTTCAGATATTTCTTTGAAAGTCGCGCGAATCCGGTTCATTTGCCTTGTGCCTTGTAAATAGAGCCAGCTGAATTGCGCGAACCTCGCAGACTCGCGGCTCAGCGAGGTGCCCGCCAGTCCGGCGGGGATCCTCTTTATCGATGCTTGGGCATCCGTCTTCGTCTTCCTCAAAGCATTGAGCTGACGCGCGAGAAAAGAACTTGGCATTGGCTCTCTTGGGGAAGAAGTGCGATGCGATCACTCTTTGCAGCGCTTTTCTGCATTCCTCTCGGCTTCGACACACTGGAGGCCAGGCGACGCGGATTTGATGCCCGCGGTCCCGCGAAGCCGGCACACGTTGAGTGCATGATGTGTTCCTTGCCGCTTGCAGCTCGCAGGCTCGCACGAGAAGCTTCTTTCTGAATTTATGTACTTGAGAACTGCGTTGTCCATGCCAGGAGGATTCACCTCCTTCGCATGCCCAGCTCAAGCTTCATGTTGTACAGCTGGAGGAGTTTCGCGCGTTGGCTCGGTGCAGACTTGAGATACTCCTACGTGGTCGGAATCCCTCCAAGAAACACTCTGTGTGGAGCGATGCTCAGAACACCTTGCCTTCAATACTACCTTGATGTCCAGCTGGAAACCACTTGGCAGGAGGTAGTGAGCCAAGTGCATGTCTGGACCTCGAAAGTGGAGGCCAGAAATCTCTTGACACACTCTCGGTCCCTCCCTGTGCCTCTCATGCCCGGCACTTTCAGCTATTCATCTGCCTGTCATGCTTGTTGAACCCGCCTCGTCTTCGCACCACGACTGCCGAACGAGCCGTCTAAGTTCAAGCCTCTCGGTTCTCGGGCTGTCCATGAATCTGCAAGATTCAGTTGGGTGCACGCACGACATTGCTCTGTTCTTGTTTCTGTGAGGCTGATGTTCTGAGCCTGAATAAGCGGAAGGAGGAGCTGGAGCGCCAAAACGAGGAGACGCTGCAGAAGAGCATGTGTGATGTTTGACCACCATGAGTGAAGCAGTAGGGCTTCGAAGACAGTCAACTGCAGGCCCTTGCACAGCGCCCGGAGCTGGAAAAGCGTGTGAAAGAGTTGCAGGCGCTGCCCGAAACTTTGATGAACCAACTTTCCCTTTTATCATCGACGTCTCGCATCCTGCTGGCAGATAATCTGACGGTTTGTGGAGGCCGAAGTCCAGCAGCTGCGCCAGAGAACGCAGGAGTTGGAGAAAGAGAAGGAGGCTACGGAATCGAAACACCGCGCGACGTTCCACCGTCACAACAAGTGAAGAGCTTTGGCATCATGGTGTCGGGGGCGACGGACAATACCTATGCTGCTACTACCACTGGTGTTATTTCTGCTGCTGCTGCTTCGGCTACTGCTGCTGCTACTACTACTACTACTACTACTAGAACTACTGCTGCTACTGCTATTACTGCTACCACTTTTCCTGAACGTCTGTCGTTGAATGAATCCCCCACTTCCTTTTCGGTACGGGCTGTGAAACGCTGCGGGCCGGGTGTGCTGCAATGGCCGAAATCTTGCACCGCTTACGTAGTCCTAGCTGACGCTCTAAAATCTAAAACAACCTGTGTGCTCCGTCTAAGCCGAGCAACTACATGCAAAATGACACAAAACTCAGTCAACACTACAGTCAACAACTGGAGAATCCCGTATCTTCTTGTTTGGAAACTTTGTTAAACAACGAGTGCAAAGCGGAATCTGCTGGTTTCCTGATGGTTGATGTTGACTGTAGTGTTGACTGATTGTTGACTGTCGTTTTGCATGTATTTGCGGCAGCTTGGGCATGCAAACGTGCACCCCAGCAAGGTTGCAGCCGTTGAAGCTACGGAAACGATTCAGAAGCCGTTGCTAATAACTCACGCTCGTAACACATACCAGGCAACACTCCTTCTACTACGATGTCGTACTACGACTACTACGACTACGAATACTACGACGACTGCGACAGCGACTGCGACAGCGACTGCGACAGCGACAGCGACAGCGACAGCGACTGCGACTGCGACTGCGACTGTGACTGCGACGACGACAACTACTACTTCCACCGCCACGGACCCCACGACCACCACAACCACCAGGATCACCACAGTCACCACGCCCACCACGGTCTGCACGGTCAGCACGGTCACCAGGACCTCCGCGACCGCCGCGACCGCCACGACCACTCCCACCACTTCGCTACCACGACGACGACCACGACCACGACCACAGCTGCGTTGACGACAACGACTTCGACGACCGCCACCACCAGCACCAGCGCCTGCGCTGCACTTACACCTCTCCAACATCACTACGCCGACGAACTCAGCTGAGACAGACTCTTGAGCTCCATGCCACGTGCCTATGCGCTTCTGCAGGCCGTGGCCTCGGAGCGCCAGCGCCTGGAAGAGCAACTCACCGAGAGCCAAGCAACAGACCCAGGGCAAGTCGGTGGGGAAGCGATGATTGACATGTGTGGGAATGCCAAAGCAACCTCAGGCAAATTGCACTCGACTGGAGGACTGGAGAGCGATGCACCAGCGAAGCTTGCAAGTCGTTTGAAATTGTCCGAGTTCGCTATGCTGCCGAAGGAAGAGTGCAGACAGCATGCGGCGGAGAGAGAAAGAAGGGCGGAGTTGGAGAACCAGCAGGCAGTTGTGTCCGGCCATGTCAGAAGAGGCTTTCGTCACAATTTCCAGTCTTTTTTTATAAGGCAGATGTTGCCCGCTCCTTCGCAGAGCTGCAGGCTTGCCTTGCTTGCCCAGATGTGCACTCGAAGTCCTGTTGCCGCCTCTTAGACTCGCAAGGCTGTCGTGGCTCAGCTCTTGCCATGGCTTGGGGAGGCCCGGAACATATCTGCCGCGGTTGTGAAGGATGTGGTGATTGTAGTCTGTGGTGCACCTCGCACACCCTTGCGCTCTTGTGCCCAGCTCGACACGCAGCGCAGTCGCCTCTTGGAGGAGAAGGGGCACGCGGAGGCGGCGGCGAATCACGGCTATAAGTCGTCTCGGCAGCTTTGGGACCAGGCCATGGCGACCTCCCTTCGCTCAGAGCTGCAGAGGTGGCGCATGTTGTGGGGCTCTGCCGCGGCCCGAGCATTCACTGTCGATTTTCTAATTCCAAATCCGAAGAGCAGAATTGGAGGATTCAGTTGTTGCAGGTGCCGAGTACGGCCGTGAGCGACGCAGTTTCCAGCTTGGACCAAGTGGCAGATGCAAATCCATCGCAAAATACCACCTCCGTGAGATCTTCTGACAGATTTTTCTCTTCTACTAGGCTTCACGGCCGTCCTCTGCTGGGCGCATGGCCCCGGCCGCCCGTGCTGGTCGGCGGGGTCCAGGCAGGGTCTGACATTGTATCCTTCTGCGTGCATATCTCTTGGTGCAAGCTGAGATCTTGGGGGAAAGTTTCCAGCTCGAATCCTCCTTTTGCCAGAAGGCAACCAGCGCAGGGCCGCATCAGCTGCCGGTGAGAAGCGCGGCGATACCTGGAATCGACGACCGAGCCCTTGTCGGTTAAGGCCCTGACGAATGGCAGACGTTGCGATGTTGCCAATTCTTGAAATCGTCGGCATTTGGTCCAATGCCAGTGCATGTTGTGTGTTTGTGTGCCATTTGTCTCAGACGCACGGCCAACCTTGACCCACGATCGATTGGAGAAGAACTCCGGGCAGACTTACCATTGGCCTCTGCCCTTATCGGCGAGCAGGCCACGTATGGCTATCAATGGCTGCAACTGTTCCGGGGTTCTCACACCCCCGCAAAGTGCTGGCTTCAGGTTGTCCACGTGTTGCCAGCATGCCAACTTGCACAACTCCAGCAAATTTGGCACCACGTCTGGAGAAGGGCACCCACCCCGTCAACCCGCTGCCCCTAAACACCCTGTGGCCCTGCACCGGCTGCAGATCCGCCACCTGTCCGCCCACATTTGCTCCTGTGCCTCCTGCGTGGGCCGAAGTGTCGGAGTCGGCGGGGAATGGCAAGAGCGACAAAGGCAAAAACGAGTGGGCACTGGAACTGAGGCCTGCAGCAAGTCGTGTCATGACTTTCTGTGAATGACTGACTTATCGCTGCCACTTGGGGTGACAAAGCCTCCCCTCAACAGAACTTCCTCGAACAGCGAACAAAGGAGGCGACCGGGGTACAAGGGCGGCAAGGGAAATTACGATGGAATTACTCCTGGAGCTACGAGTTCTGGGGCTGGTAAAGAGAGAAGTGTGCTAACGCCATAGCCAGGTGTGTCACCTATGTTGTTGAGTCTGCTGAGAGCTTTGGCTCTCCGGTAGTGCTCGCCTGACGTTATTCAGGGTAGCACTAGCATGTGCTAGCTCCTTGCCGGCATGACGAACCATTGCTGCCGCCACGGGTCTAACGAAGCGAAGGGGTGACTAAGCCTCCCCCTACTTGAATAGTCCCCAATTCATCGTAGCCCCTGCCGGAGTTCGTTTCAGGGCGCGTCAACAAACTCGTCCTATGTCTGCACGGAAACGGAAGTTGTGCCAATCAAAAGCACCCGAGAGCCCAACGAATCCTGTGCCTGAGCAGCGACAGAGGCTCTCACCCGAACGCCCTGACTGGGCCGTCACGTGGCCTCCGAACAAGGCGCCATGTCGGTCACGTCCGTTCATGCTGCAGTATTCTGAAAGAGCAGCAATGAGTTGACTTGAAGATGCACCGTGTTACAACGGCGGATTCCTTTCTATGGGATCTGGACTTGAAGCCGGATATTGCCATAGGGGTGTAAGGGAATCGCGCGAGTAATCACAGACAGATTGTTTCAATGCATCAGTTTCCGTTGACTTTGAGCATGCTTGGCCCAGGAAGGTGCCGCAACACCAGGCACGCCTGTGGAAATGTGGAAGCGGAAGCCGGACGTGAGAGACATGTTGCGACATAGGAAACATAACAGCTGTAGTTGACGTGCATTCCGAGGTGCGAGTGAGGTGCTTGCAGCCCTCAGTGCCGAGCTGGCGAAAGCGGCTAAGGCCTGTGTCCCTTGTGGAGAAGAATGCGATAGAAACGTGTTGCGCGCCGAGTGTTCGACCTGCCAGCCTGGTGTAAGCCTAAACGAAAGCATGCAAGGTAAGGTAGTGGTAGCACTTGATCGAAAAGGCGACACTCTACAGAATGCGATGTTCGACCGCGGCAAGACAGGAGTCGCCGTGTTTCGCGGAACTTCCCGCTACATCTGCGGAGCAAGTCCGAGCTGCGGACGCAGAAGCGTAGAGAGGCTGTAACTTGTGCGCCGATCTGCTTGCTATATTCATGAAGCAGGCCGCACCTCCTGCCGTGGGCAGCAAGGGCACCCAGAGGGGCCTGCGGGCTTCGTTGTTGGATGCAGTTTAGAGTTTTTTTAGAGAAGGCGTTGCAAAGGCGGATGCGACGTGAAGGGAGACCAGAAGCATTGACTGACTGCTCATGGTCATGGTGCCACAAACCACGATGCAGCTTCTGACAGTCGGTTCTGGCACTGCTTGTAACATTCATCCGTCCAAGGCACAGCAGCTTCTGTGCAGAAGCAGCTCGCGCTCCAGCTGCAGGAGCTCCTCGCACCGGCAGCCAAGGGCGCAGGCCCGGGCAACGTAACGAGACGTTCTGCCTGAGACAACTGACCTGTCAGAAGCCGATTCACTAAGTTAAGAAACATGGACTATTTTGCAAGACAGCACGGTGGTCCGTTCTATATTCGGGCTTGGTGCGCAGAAGTTTATAAATGTTCGACAGAGTGGACCACAGTGCGACACAAGACACTTAGTTGCTGCTTGTGCGACCCTTCTCTGGCTCAATGTTTATCCACTCGCTGGCTCAATGTTTATCCACTCGCTTCTTATGTCAGTCTCCATTGGACAACGGTTCTCTGGAATCCATTCAGACATTCTAGCATGCTTGTTTCACACCTTCTATCCCCCAGCGTCACTGTTTTCGTTTGCAGCTCCGCATGGTACTGCAACAGGCAGAGTCGCACTGAGGCTGAGAAGTGTCCCTGTGAGAAGGATGGGTGTACAGAGTAAAAATAGTGTAGCAGCCGGCGATTCGTCAGCTTCCCCCCAACCAGGTGCCATGCCCAAGGCTGCAGCAAAGGCTTCGACCTTGGCAGTTGCGTATTCTAGGCTCAGACGTGCAGGCGAACTGTAGACCGTGACCATCCTTGACAGGGAGATTGCAGCAGTGCAGTGCGCAGCACTGCCCAGGCACCAGTGTCCGAGCCTGTGGCAGCGAACGCTGCAGCGCAGCCGTCTTCACCAACAGGCACGAGCCGGCCTTCAACAGTGCCTTTCATCGCAAGAGGGTTGGGTTGGGCCCTGGTACCAAGTCTGTCGCATCCTCGATCATGCTCGGTATACCCAGCAACACAGCCAACCCGAACGATTTGTTCAGATCTCCGTGGTGCAGGCGGCGCAGAGTCGGCTCCAGCGCGTGCAGCTTCGTAAGGTGCGGCCCATGAGATCCTCAGTTCAATACAAACCAATTCTCGAGCCGTGGCCAGTTTTGAGCAGCGATTCAGCAGATTCCTTTGTTTGGGGAAGGTGTTCTTCCCTCCAGCTTGAGCAAAGGCCCGGCAACTGAGAGAAGGGGCTTCGACTGTTTGTGATTCTAAAGATCGACTCCGAAGAGGAAGGAAAAATCAGTCGCTGGCCATGTGTAGAATTACGTAGCAGTACTGCAGAAGCAAGCGGCAGGGGCAGCGGTGGACGAAGTTGCAACAAGCAATATGGGTGCTAGCTAGGTCGTTAGTGGGCAGCTTCATGCAGCTTCAGATAGCATCGTAGCGGTCTTGCACGGCCTTGCTGCAAGCGCCCATAAGAGCCCCAAGGCTCGAACATGGCACTTTACGGGGCACTGTGGCTGTTCTCCTATGCGGCCCCCGCTTGCCATTCGCTCCAGTTTGCTGGCTTGCGCCAGCCAACGTCACAGCAGCCAGACCTATCACCGCTAGCCGCTAGCAAAGTCGAGGGAGCTTCGGCCGTCCCTCGCGTCATGAAGGCTAAGTCGATCACGATCTCGTGTCCTGACAGATTGGTCATGGGTCTGCTGATGTCTTACATTATGAACCCTGTCAGGCTGCCAGTCTTGAATCTCACGATTCGAAGTATCACAGAAAGAGCCATTCACAACTGAGCTCAAAACTGGCCCCGGCATTGGCCGTGCAGGGAACAAGCGCAGGATGCTCTTCTAACGGAGCTCCGTGGCTTGGGCCCAGCCATGCGGAATTCGCAGTGGATACTCCTGCCAGCTGCTGTGGTATTACGCCGCGAGAAACCGAAGAAACAGGCAGTTTCGTCATCCCGTGTTCATTTTTTCCCGAACACTCGGCAGCATCATGTGATCGTGATTTCCAGACATCTGCTGCATGTGGTCCTGCGTGTCAGTAGGATCAGTCGAGAGGAAAAGCCGAACTCAAGCAGCTGGTGTCAGCACCAGACTGACGTGGCAAGGCAGAGCATCCCAGGTTTCACCAGCTCCAGTCCAGAAGTATCCTAAACCCTAAAGTCCCTAAAGCCTGAAGGCCCTAAACTGGCTGTTGACAGAACTTGGAGCTTCTAAATTCATTGCAGGAGGTGTGAGGGGTCTCACCATGGCTTGGACACATGTGAACCAAAACAAGCACGAGACTGCCGTGGACTACCTCGCCCCACAATCTGCCAAGCTTTTGAACTCTTGCAAGCTACACTCCAACGATGACGCAAGTTCCGAAGCATGGCGGAAAGGCACTGACGGCTACGTTTCAGCCTCACATCAAGTTCAGTTGGATCATGTATCAATGTATATAGTGCGGTTTTTGGGGAAATGTTTGCTTGGGCAGCAGCAGCTTGAAACTGCGTGTTTGGACAAGCTGTCGATGCTGCATGGTATGCCTGTCGACTGTCAGTGAGCTAGAGGGCTCAAGCCTGCGACCTGCGAACCATATGCAAGCACCAGCACCAGGACACATACTAAATACTATTGACTAGTGGCCACCTCGCAGCCTAGCGCTCGGACAGCCCCGCTGCGTATCTCTGAAAGTGCTAGCAGAGCGCTTCGAGCATGGCTCTTGCTTTGGCTGAACAGGCTGCATTGTGTTTCCTCTGCCAGGGAGAGTGGCGACCGATGCAGTTTTTGTTACGTTCGCATGCAGTGCTTCGGTCGCACAGAAACAAGACTGGTAAAGCAGTGCTGAACTCGTGATCGTGAGACTTTTTTCGGTCAGGCCGGCGTGGAGCCACAACTCGCCATGAAGCCGACCTCTGAAGTTGTAGACCCTTTGTCAGTAGGAGCCTGCAGGAGAAAGCCTTGTGCGGCCCTTGCATCGCACGTGATCCTTTGGCATTTCTTTGATCCCGGTGTTTACCCATGCAACGCCTCCTTGTTGCTCTTCTCTCTGCTGAATATCTGACGAAGCCACAAGACGCCACCGGCGCAGATTGATACGAGGTTGGGGCCTTTCTCCTGCTTCTGCTTATGCGTGGAGCGAGGATCTCTCGTACTGTCCTCAGTTTAAACAGTGCTCGACTTCGCAGGGCATAGTGGCCTCAGTGCCTGACAACTCCCACGCTGGCTTAGGATGCGGGGGCCGCGATGCTATTGGCACAAGCTGGTGTGCGACTCCCATTTCCCATGTGACTGGATCATGGGGTTTGAAGTGCAGCCTTCAGATGTAGGCAGGATGTAGGCATTCACGCGCTGCCGTCTTTAGCTTTGCGGTGCGTTTCTAGGTGTGTGCTTCGCAGCATTTTGGCTCCGCGCGGCAGAGAGCTTCGTTGCAGTGTGGTGCAGTTGCTGACAGCTTTTCTGGGCGAGCAAGCCACTCATCATCCCCGCTCCGCGGCCATGTCTACCTACGTACTTCAATCCCGCCAGCCAGTGGGCGGCGGGATTGGACTTTGGGCGAATGGCTGTGTGGGGGTGGCAGCTGGGTCGGAGGAGCTCGCTCTACCAAGCCAGGGCGAAAAACTGTTCACTTCCCCTTGTTGGGCTTGGGAAACAGAGTGGACAGACATTGTCCACGCTGTTCACAAACCCAACAAGGGGAAGGGCAAGGGTAAAGCAGACAAGAAGCAGAATGGGAATGCCAGAGGCAACAAGGCTGGCAACGGCTTCAGGAGGGTTCTCCGCACTTGGAAGAGACGAGAGAAGGATCGCAAGCATCTGCGGCGACCATGCCGAGATTAGTTCGGGGCAAGGTCGATCAATGCATTTCACGTTGACCCACCTGCTGCTTCCATGTGGCACACCCGTCTGTGAGGCATTTCCGAATTACATGCCAGCACATCTGACCGAAGTTGTGATTGGCCGTTGTCCTTTTCGGCAAGATGTAACTTCAGCGCGGCTGGATTGTTTAATTGCTTGAAGTTGCGATATCCTACAGATCTTTGTCCGCCTGTCGTGTGCACTTCACCGATCTGTAATTGTCGGCAGTAGACATAGATATTGCAAGTTTGGAGGTTGAAGGGCAGAATTACGCGCCTGCCAAAGAATGTGAGCGTTACAGAGACATACAGTATACAGATGCAAGACACTACGAGGTCAGAGGCGAGATGGAAGGCCCGTGCCTGCGGGAGTGAGTGTTGTTGCTTGCATTCTGTGAGAGTTATGTGGAACCACCCAGCTCGGAACTGTCTTCTCCTCACAGAGCAAAACTGTCACAATTAGGCTGACTAATTCATGAGTGGATTAATTCACTGATATATTGCATTCTTGTTCCAGGAGCTAGTTTAAACTAGCAGTGCATCCATCAACTGACTACTGTAAGCAGCTTGTTACACTACGACGAGTTTGTTGACTGACTAGCGGGTTTTTGACATGCCAATCTGAAAGGCCCGGGTTATCATTTCCAGATAGTCAGCTAACCAACGATCACATTCAGCAACCTTCTAGCTGCATAAATCTGTAGCCAGCGAGCTGCTCTTACTGAACTTGGTAGAAAATTGGTTAGTGAGTCTTTAGTTGAATGGACGTTCATTGGTGAAAGAATGAAGTGGTTAGTCAACTAGCCAATGAATGACTTAGTAAGTCCATGCGTCCGCTCATTCATTAGCTAGCTGTTTAGACTGTTCAACAAGTAACACGACCGATGAGATGTGCTAGCACATGTATGTACTGAGAACGGCGATACAGTGGCCAGGAAACCATGGTGGTTTAGATCCTGCAGATGCTGATGCAGAGGCTGAACCTGCCCTGCCGGCACTAGCCACCTCGTGTCATGTTCCAGTTGTAGCCGGAGAAGGTCATCCAGCCACGTCGCAGAGGGACATGTAGCAGTGGGTTTTAGTAGGGGTTCAGCTATGTTCAGCTCTGTGCCGGCCGGAAGGAGTTTAACCACTATGACTACTATCCGCCGGCCCCAGTCCAGGAGGGCCGCAGGGCCATCTTGACAACTTGGTGTCAGGCACTTCGAAGATGATGTCTTATGCTAAAATTTGGGGTCTTGGGTTTCAGGCTCAGAGCTTCTTTGGAGCCAGACTCCACAGCTCCATGGGGTGTATCCCTGCAATAACCTGGAAGCCAACCGCCGCGTCTGCGCAGGATGACGCGAGCGATCAGGAGCCACTGCTGTTGGAGGCCCTGCTGTTTCGATGGTTTCAGTTTCGATGGTTTCAACTTTCAACGTTGAATAATGTAGAGGGCCCGAGAATCGGTAATAGCATACCCTTATATGGCTTATATATATATATATATACGTATATACTCAAATACCTACATACAATTACAGTTACATACAAACATAATACATCACATACCCTTATGCAATAGTCAAGCTCGATTCCTGGCGGCATCATTTCGTCAGCTCCCCGGCCGAATAAGCAGCACCGAAGGCCATGTGCGGAATTGCAGAGAAACTGTGCCAGGCAAAATCAAAATATGGACGCTTCCTTAGAGCAGTGCTTGATTTTCGTAGTCTTCCATTTGTTGCTACTGTGTTCCGGTTTCTGTCAACAATAGACAGTGACCTTGTGACCGTCATGTTAAGCATGGCTTAACTGTTGCTGGCATGGTCGTTTGTATGAGCTTGCCAGGCAGAGGCGAACCCTTCCAGCCCAACAAGAATCAGACCCGAGGCCCTGCTGCAAGGGTATCCTCGACATATCTCGACATGTCTCATCTGCCTTGGCTGCTTGACACAAATAAGTCCGTTCGGAATCGCACATGCCCCACCCCATTACTCCTTTTTGCCACACGAAGATGCCAAACCTTCGCTTGCATGCGTGCGCAGTAAGCCACGTTTTTGTTTGAAGCCGCCCCCAAGTGCCGAGAGTCGGCATGCCATTTGACAAGAGAGGCAAGAACCTATGCTAAACAAAAGTAAGGTGGTCATTGTAGTCTTGGTTACCAGTGCGTACGGATGCTGGCTGCCGTTCGGAGAGCATTCCTTTGATTTTAGATGCTGTTCATGTTCACAACAGAACGGTAATGGTTTCTCTCCGCGGAAACACTTGCAGTCATGCCCGTGATGGCGTAAGCATCACCTGCTGCCAGGCACCTTCTGATGGTCCGCTCTCGAGATAAATTTCCTAGATGCAACACGCGTCTGGGTATATTCAAAAGCAGCAGCGCAGGGGGCATGCGTACCAGGGTTTCAGTCATACTAGACTACACTAGAGAGAATGGATGGAAAGACGGAGATGTGCATAATTACTACTGCAATGTTGCTTCATGAGTTGTTTTGTTAAGGGTTTATGAATATGGCATAAGACTGGTGATGCGCACTGACACCCCGCACTTTCCTGTAACACGCCTTTGCCGACCAAGGCTTTTGACATGAGGAAACCCAAGAAACCTCTCCAGGGATCATGTTGCCCTTTCCAGAGTCCGATTCGACCAAGCAGCTAAGAAAGCAGCTCGCTGGCAAGATGTTGCGTCAGCACCGAAGGCAGCTAAATGTCATTTGGACTTGCCCAGCCGATGTCGCATGCAGCCTTCATGTTGCCGGCGCGAGTCGTCGTGCAGAAGTCGAGCATACCTCAAGAGGCCCAGGTGGGCGGTCCTGAAAACACGGCCTAACAACTTAATGGATACGAGTCGCTCACCCACCGGCTAGCAATGCTGCGTCTTCGTCTCTCTACATTGCAGATTGCAAGCATACTGTGATCGTTCGAGGATAGATCCCAGTGCTGGTGCCACACTAAGCCGAGGCCCAAGTATATCTATGACGGCAGCTTTTCTTGGCTCGTGACCGGTGTGCCGAGCATGGCGGTCCCGGAGCCTATGCGCGAAGGCCAGATTGTCGACGGAAGCTCTGCTCTTGCATTTAATGGAAAGGCCCTAGACCTTCGGTAAAGATGTTGTCGTGATCCGCTCTCGAACGAAGTCCTGCGGCTTCAAGCCTTACAAAGTGTATGTGGCTGCTGCTTGTCGTGCTTTCTGGTCCTCAGCCTAGGAAGAATCCAGCTCTCGACAGCGTTATGGGACACGTACCTCGAAATGCCACGGCCACAGGATGCTAAGGAGGCAGAGCCAAACACTTTCACCGAATCTTTCTTGCCGATGGCTGATTTCGTATTGTGTTCCATGGTGTTCGATGCTTCGGCAGGTGGACCCGAGGGATGTGAACACACCTGACAAGTGGATCTGCAGGTGCCGGAGAGTCATGTGGGCAGGATGCGGTTTTGTAGTTGCGGTTGTATCAGCACTAGCCTCACTTACACAAGCTCCCTCAACAATTTCGTTTGAGGCCCAGATTTGCTGATCAGTCACACAATTGGTGGCCTAATCCCCAGCAAAAGCTGTTGCTGAAACCTACGGCCACAGTAGCACAGAAGTGGACTCCTTCTGATGCTGATCATGCTGCCTCCCACCAGAAGTGTCTGGAAGCATGAAGTTTGCGCGGCGCTTCGTTGCCACGCCATCGTCCGTCTTCCGGTTGTTGAGCTTCCGTCGCCCAGCCCGCGTGGGCGCAAGTGTCGGCATAACTCTTGTGAGCAGTGCTCCTCTGGCCAACACTGCCCTTTTGTCAACCACTTGAGGTGCTGCACATATCTGCACATGCATAGTGGGGCGGGGGGCGGGGTTGGCTGTCAGAGTGGCTTCGATTCTCCCCGAGGCATCCGGCGATGCAACGAAACACGGGCTTGCATCCCTTCAACGCCGAGCCTCCTATGCAGAAGCTGCAGGACTCTGACTCCGTAAGCTGGCACAACAATAGATGTGGCCTGCTTGCTTTTCTGAACAGGATGCCGGGTGGATCACTCCTGCCTCCTTGCTTGTGGTTCGAACCTTGCTTGCAACGATAACGTAAAGATTCCAGTTGGATGGTGCTGTGCGTGCTTTGGTTCCTGTAGCTTTTCAAGGGCACTGTCCTTCCAAACTCAGCACGTCCGTCATCGCACGCGATATGCACAGCCCCGAAAATCGCCGAGGCCAGCACGGAGCTGTGCCCCAGTTGAAGTGGTCCGAACACAAGTTGAAGATCAAAGGAGACCTGGACAGGCAATCTTCAAATCATGTGCACCCGAGGCTGAATTCTTTCGTTGATTTAGGAGGCGGTCTGCGCTGTTCTTGCACTGACCTGCAACACAGGAGTTCCCAAGCCATGCGAGCTCAGCATGGATCAGATTGCTTCTGGCGACTTCGGCTCCGTTGTGTCCTTCCCAGTCACCTTCATCTGTGCCGGCAATCGCCGAAAGGAGCAGAACATGACCAAGAAGACAGCCTCCTGTCCAATGACCTTGTGTAATGTAGTTTACTTTTCCCTGTGTTGGGTAGTCGCCGTCCCGCAGTTTCAAGAACTGGGGGGGTGCAAAAGGTGGGCTTTGACTGGGGTCCAGCTGCAGTTGGGAACTCCGTCTGGACCGGAGTACGCCTATGTGATGTGCTGGCGCACGTGGGCATCACTCGACCCACCAAGGAGAGCTTGTTTTTTCAGTTGCAGTTGTTCGGACTTGTTGTTGATTGCATCTTGAATGATGAGTGGTGGCTGTTATGGTTGAGACAGCTATGTCCACTGTGGCATGGCTTTTCCGGCACTACGAAAGTGGGTTTCATGCTCGTCGCCGCTTTATTCTTCCGCATGTTGTCCTATCTCTGCAGGAATGTCTGTGGTTGCGATTAGAGGCAGCCGACCGCAGAAAATGCATGTCAGGAGTTCCGCTACGTTCACTTCGAGGGTCCGCTGGGTGAGCTTCCACAGGCCACGTATTTCGCAGCTCGCGAAAAGCAAAGCCGTCTGCACGAGTCAGTTGAATCAGTTCCATGGTCCCACTGCTGAACACAACTAGGAAGAAGATGGCAGCCTGTCACGAATTCTGTTCCCAAAACTGCGGGTTGTTGTGCAGGGCGAGACAAGGTCCTGGGGCACTTCAATTGACATCGGCTGGGCGCTAGACCGAGAAAGGGATGTCATTCTGGCCTTCAAGCAGCATCCCAGCTGACGTTTATTCAATCATGCAGGAGCTTGCGCGGGCTGCAGGGAAGCGTAATATGGTCTAGCGGCTAGCTGATTCCGGGTGCGAAATGCTCAGGAACGGCGAGCTGCTCACTCCGGACCATGGCGCTCCCCTTCGCACAATTCTGCCAGGGTGCATTGGCGGGCGCATGGTCAAATGGCTCACGAGCATGTGGGCCGCGTTGCTGAGATTGTCCGGCAGCAGAAGCCTTTTGCTGACGGTCCTCTGTCGTCAGGTTTCAGATCAACCCTCGGAGAACCACTACCATTACTTTGACAATCGCGTGCTGCCACCTCATGTCGATGTTGATCTAGCCTATGCGGAAGGCCTGGCCGATAGCAGCTGCGAAGCTGTCGTCAACCTCGATGTTTTTTGTTTTGCCAGCTTCTAAGGACGCACTGCCTTAGGGAGAATGCACAAAAACAAGCCCGGAAGGCTGGTGGTACAAGCCAGAGTATGTGATCAACCACATGAACATTAATTCGGCACAGGGCTCGGCCGGAAGGCACTTGCATTTGCCAGTCTACCCCTCTGTATGCTTCTGTTTCCCCACGAGGCGATGTTTGAGCCCTGGCACAACTCCTACGTGATTCTGGGCCAAGAGAGCACCCCATCAACCGTCAAGGCACCACACGCAGCGCAAAAACAGTTGGAACAGTAAGGCTGCAGAGCTGATTCAGCACCTGCATCTGAGCTGTATGTAACAAGTGCTGGGCTAAGTAGAGTTGTCAGAGGTGAGTGGTTATGCCTACACCGGTGGTGGGCACAAGATCATCCGAGCGGAGATTTCAGTGGATTCAGGCAGTGGAACGTGCCATCTACCGGGGTGGTTCACGTGCCCTCAGTCTGAGGCTAGTCCTCTAGGTTTCTGCCACCCTCGCAATGATTGTCTTGCATTTTTAATGAATGCCAGCCGAAGCTTCTGAAGCTGGAGAGGCTGCTGCTTGAAAATCGCATAGTCGTGGTTCGCAGACGTATGAGCAGGCAAGTGCTGGGAGCTTACAAACCTCACCCGCCCGGAGGACTGCTGGGATTTTGGTTTGACTTGGAGTCTTCATGTGGAGGCTTCCAGTGGCTGCCTGTGGGCCTGTGGGTCCCCTGCTGTAAACAGTACCCTGAAGCATAATTCGTGCACAAGAAATGCCATCGTTCAGAATTTGTGCTCTTCAGGACGATATCGCCGCAGCGCGCGGCACGGACAAACACTGGTGTTGGTCCTGGTGGGAGACCGAAGATGCTCGGACTGGCCGTTGTCTAGAGAGACTGCTTTCCAGCCCACCAGCCCATGCTACAGTACCGTTTTGAGATCCGTACAGTGAGCTGCATGCAGGACATGATTACCCGGTACTGTGAGAATTGTCCGGCTCAGGTCGAGCTGCTTAGATTGCAGGGTGCCGAGGCCTGCTTCTGTGCCGAAGTCTCCAACCCCCAACCTGAAGCCAAGCCTGGAATAAAACATAAGCTGTTTGCGGAGCAGTCACCAGGGCTAGGGGAGCGTGTACTAGGAAAGGCCCCCGGAATGCTGCGCGTCCCGAGCACCTAACTCGGGACCAGAAGGGCTAGCGGCGAGAGTGTCTAACCTAGAGGTCCAAGCAGGAACCCGCGTTCATTTGGGCGGCAACGTCTGTGGCGGCCGGTAACGAAGTCAGACACCTGCCTTTCTGTGACACTTGCCCTGGTTAAGCGACTGACCTTCTTCCTGCATAGAATCTGCAGGAAATGACGATGTGCCAAATAATCCGACCCGATAATCCCGTCTGGATATGCAAGTTTTCGGGAGCCTCACCATCAGGAGATTTGTTGCCGAGCGTGGGATTCCAACCACAACAGCCAGCCGGTTCAGCTCACGTGGTGTCTCGGCCATTGACATGTCTACGTGGCTCGCGACCTGGCATTCAGCGCGGCGAGCTGAGGACTGTCATGGGGATGCTCCACAATGCCATCTATCGTATCAAGATCCACCGGGAGAAGACGTTAGACGGCCAGGACATGATCTGGTTTGAGCACCCTACTCAGGGCTCCAATCCAGGCGGATGGATGACCGATGCAGCTGGAACCTCGTCAGAACCGAGCATCATCTTGTGACTCTTCTTGTGTGTTGACAAGTTGTGACAGCTCCACGGCGCGCATCAGCCCAGAGCTCAGGTCACTTCAATGCCAGCGTAGCCTCCCCGGCGACACCTGGGCCGCTGGGCATCTCCCCGCTCCGGCCACCCGCTGCTGTGTGGACAGGCCTCCCAATAAATGAGTGAAGCTGCATGCATCAGTTCAGAGCCTCCGCTGTAGAGCGTTAACGTGAACGATCCTCCGACACAGGAGCTAAAGAGAAGTCCGTGGGCGCTGGATGTGCAAAGAAGGCGGAGGCTGAGTCGCCGACGCCGAAGGAGGCCGCGGCCACACTTCGGCATTGTTGGTTTTTGGTGCCGAGGCGCACGCTTGAGAGGTGAATCCGCACAATCCTCACGAATCTGAAACTTCGAGCTGACACAATGCTTCCCATACAGAGAGACTCCACCTGTCCGCAGTTACTGATATCGTCTCGCGCCGCACCCAGCCCATATTTCAGAGCACCGCTGCGATGAGTCCAAACTGGTATATAAGTCTAATCGAACTGCAGTCACCATATTTTGCGATCGGGGCCGGCGCTGACCACTGGCCTGCCTATTTTCAGCAACCATTGGTTGCAACTACTCGTACATGTAAAGAGGCTGGCAAGTTCGTGAAGTCTTCGGCTGATTGGCTGACGAGTGGCATTCCCATGAGCGAGGCCGGGGACAGCGCCCTTGAAGCCCTGCATGCAGCCTTTGCCAACAGACTAGAGCTAGTCTGTTGTCCGTGGAGAGAGAACCAAGATATCGCTGCAGTGCAGGTGAAGAAGCATGACAGCCAACGATCTTGCTGGTTTGTCGTGAAGAACAAGGTCTACGATGGCACGTCCTACTTAGAGGACTAGCCGAGAGTGGAAGCTCTTGCCAGCAAGTGTTCCGAAGCAGTGCTCATGCAGCTCCGCTTTGCGTTTTGCTGGCAATGCTTCAGTTTGTGTGCACCAGTACCCAAAGGTGAGGGCAGCCTCCTGCGCAATCAAAACTGACCAGATCTGACAAGTATGACAACTGACCAGAAATCCATACCCCCACATGTCAATGAGCACCGACGGCCGTTGTAGGGTAGCAATGTGGCGTTTGGAAGCCGACGTTTTTGTGTAACCTCCTCCTCTTCCTGGTGCAGCAGGCAATGTTGACTTGTGACATGTTGTGTTCTAACTGCTTGCTTTGACGGAGGTGTCCCTGGAAGGACGTTTGGTGCAGCGCAGTTGAGCTGAAACGATCCATAGAACCCATGCATAGAGAGTGGCAACTCCGATTATGCAGGGATGCGGGGCTTTCCAGAAATTGGCGACAATTGAACAGGATCACCCGGGCGGAGCCTCCTCCATGCTGCTGGCTGCTGGGCTCGAGGCCGCTGATACCACAGAAGGATAATTAGAGCATTGTAAACAGTTCATGACTGCAAGAGGACGGTCATGTAGCACGAGAATGATGTCAGAATGTTGCAATAGGGCCGGCCATACCAGAAAATCTCGCACACTGGCATGATTATTTTGACGCTGCGGCTCGCCCAGCTTGCCCGAGCCCCTCACCTAATCTTTACGGGCTCCACGGAGTCTGTGAAATTTCACAAAGACCCTTGCCGCAGCCGTGCAGTCTTCAGTGGCCCTGCTCTGATGCTGAAGGATCTTGCAGGCTTCGGCGCACTGGAAGTAGACCGCTTGACCGAGTGGCTCGAAAGAGGAGCGAGGTGAGCAAGAGAGGGGTACATTGCAGTGGCATGAATGCACCACGGTCCCTCATGCAACTACTTCTTGCATAGAGCTGCGTCGAAAACTGTATGTAAGAGTATTCTGGAATGCTGTTGAATACGAGAATTGGCATTGCGGCCGTTGTTGCTGTTTTGGAATGACTTGGCCTGGACTGCAAGGTTAAGATTAGCAGACAGGCGTTCCTCCGCAACCAAGCCATTACCGATATAAATTTCACTGGCACGCAGAAATCCCGATGCAACTGCCGAGGCAGATGTATCAAACACCGACAAAAACGGTACGTGTATTGAAACTACCAACGGTTTCAATACCACATATCAAGGGTCAGGTTTACAAGGAGCCAACACATGTATCGGACGCACGAGGGCGCGATACACTGTCCTTCCGGGCTCGCGAGGTCTCGTGCTTCACGTGGTAACAGGCTCCTTCATGCAGTAAGCCTGTGGCAAATCGAATCAAGCATGTCCGGCATGAGGCCCTCTGCGGACGGATGGATCTGTAGACCCGCAGAGCATGAGCTGCTTGTGATGATTATTGCCACTTCGTCCTAGAACTCTCTGAACGACATCGGAGCTCTCATGTGTGCAGAGTCTATGAGTAGGCGAGGAACAAAAGCCGAGTCAACAAGCAATGCTCCGTGCAGGCCACCGGAGACTTCGAGGCGGTGTCCTGGTGGCATGTTATGCACTGCGGTTCACGGAGCGAGAGAGTTGCGACAGATCGGTGGATTGTGACTCAGAGTCTACAAATGTGACTGCACGCCAAGGTGCACTCAAGCAGAGCTTGGGGCATGCTGGAGAACTACTACATTGGCCCATTGAAGCAAGAGCTCGTCAAGCCTGGCGACCTGCTGCTGAAGCTCCCAAGCAACTCCGCCGCAAGGTCGGGTCGGGGCTTTGCCGTGCGGGACGTGCATTGTGAAGGAGACAGGCGACTTGCTCCACCGGGCACAAAGCTTCAAGTCACTTCAAGGCAGGTGCCTTCCACTCCGCACAAGGGATCGACAAACTCTCTGCACGGGAGTGATGACGAAGCAGCATCAAAAACACACCCTTGCGTCCTCATGTTAACTGGCCTTCCGACTCAGGTATCGCCATGAGCTTCGCATGGCGCCAGGTCTGGAGCCCAGAACACTTGCCGGCAGGGAACTCAAACTTCTTCATGCAATGCAGTGATTCGGGAGTTGGTGCTAGTTCCTGCGAGTGGGGAAGCCAGGACTGCGTCAACTCTCTGCATCAAAGCGCTCAATGTTAAAAGCAATCATGCTATGAGCATGTATTGCTCAATAATTATGAGACAGACAAACAGAACGAACACCGATAAGAGTAACAATTAATCGGAATAGTAATCATCGTAGCAGTGATGCTGGTAATGTGAAGAACAACCGTACGAATAACAGCAAGATTGGCAATGACATCAACGATGGTGAGAGTAACGGTATTCAATGAGGAGTAAGATTGACCTAGCGACCTGCCGACCTACCGACCGACCCCGACCGACCGACGGACCTGCCTACCTGCCTGCCTGCCTGTAGTAGCAGCGGTAGCGGTAGCAGCAGCAGTATCAGCAGCAGTGTACCAATAGCAGTAGTGGTCGCAGTAGTCATGGTAGTCATAGTAGTCATAGGCGTCACAGTTGTCATAGTAGTCAAAGCCACAGGAGTCATAGGAGTCATAGTAGTCTGAGTAGTCAGACTAGCAATCGGCCGATTGCTAGTATTAGTTTTTGGAATAGAGCTGGTACTTGTAATGCTGTAGCAATAGTAATGCCTGCTAGAAATATTCATAGTACTAGTCAAAGGAACCATAGAAGCACTAGTAATCTCGTAACCCAGTAGAGGCATTAACTTGGGTAGTCATCATGGTCATGGCAATGATACTGGTACTGAAACCTAACAGCTGGTTTGATGATGTAGTCTCAGTGTCGCTGTTTGTACGGTCGTTTTTTCTTGGTGTTGTTGCTACCAGGCTTCATTGCATTGGCTAAGGTGTTTGGAGCATTCGGCCTCTTTTTCGGCGCAGCGGCATCCGCCCTTCGCCAAACTATCGTCTGGCCCCAAGGGAAAAGCAGAAAGCAGAGAATGTGAGCTCTATCCTGTGAATCTGTCAACCTTAGACTTTGTAAACTTTACATTCGTAACCCTCCGATGCACCTGCGGCTTGCTACAAGTGCCACCTCCCAACGTGCACCTGCAGGGGCCCGCATCTAAACTCTTGTTCGGCCAGGTGCCCGCTGTTTTCCTGAGCCAGAAGGACTATCGCGATTGGGTCAGCCCGCTTTTGACTGGGTGTCCAAGGCATAAAGAGTTGGGCTCCATCGTAACGACTTGTTAGATCCACATGAAGGATCGGTGTGGATTAGCAAAGTTGAAATTGAAAAGGAGACGAAGCAGCTTCACCTGTCGGAGAAGATCACGGCGTTTTCGCAGCAGTTTGCAGAAGGAGGGGTCGATAAGGCGTTCTTCAAGGCTGGCGGCGAGAGGCAAACAGGGGTGCCAGATGATCTTAGATCAGGTGGGCGCGGAACAGTAATACTCGTAGTAATAGGGATGGCGATGCAAGGATGAATGAATGGATGGATGAGTGGATGTTATTCAAAGAGAGGGGACTGTTGTGATGTAACGGAGCAATTCCAACAGCTGTAACCCACCAGTTGCCATCCCTTCTCCATATTCAGAAAGAGGATTCTGCAACAGGTGCAAGGTGCAGACGCAGAATGAGTATTGAATGTTCTGAGCCCTGCCGTGAGACAGTCTTGGCCGCCTTCATGGGGAGTGTGTGTGTGTGTGTGTCCCAGATTAGACGTTCTGGGCTTTGCACCCCATGTGCTCCTGCTTGGGTAACTGCATCCGCCACTCTAGAAATTTAAGAACAATTCCGGTGCAGCATTTTGCGCACTGTCCTATGTTCAGCACCAGTGGAAGCAAATCTTGGAGATGATTCCGCGCATTTGACGGCTGCACGCTCTAAGGTATCCCACGACACTCGGATCTTCCGCTTTGCGCTCCCGTCCAAGTCCACACGCCTCGGGCTTCCGACCGGGATGCACGTGATCCTCAAGGCGCTGGGAAGCGGAACCATGAGATGCCAAAAAAATGTGCAGTCGCTCTAGGCTGCAGCATTGGTATTCTGCTTGTTGATGTCTAGGCCAGCGTGGATGGCAAGCCGGTGATGAGGGCGTATACACCCGTGACGGATGACAGCACGCCGGGTCACGTCGATCTGCTCGTGCTGCTGGGATGTAAAGTTCTGCCGGGTCTCTTACCTGCCCTGAAAATCTTCTGCCCGTCCATCCAGAAACTGCATAAACGCCAGCACCCGACATCGGTGAGCATCGATTGCCGAATAAGTAATCGGGAGCGATGGCAGCAACATTACACTGCTACATCGTTTGGCGTTTGCAAACCTGGGTTGAAGTAGCATTGCAGATCATCTATTGCCAGCCAAGGAAGGTTTACTTCAAGGATGTTCACCCGAACTTCCCTGAGGGCGGCAAGATGTCTCAGCACATGGAGTCAATGAAGCTTTGCGGAATGATCCATTGCGGTTTGCTCCAGGAGCCAACACTCATTAGTAAACTCGCAACAGTGCCTGAATCGAGGAAGATCGGTGATGCCATTGAAGTGAAGGGTCCGGTCGGAGATTTCGTCTACAAGGGTGGCCAGCTCATTTGTTGGACAAACAGACACTGCCCTTTTTTCTGCAGGGGGCTGCTGGTCGGACGCTTCAACCAAAATCCCCCGATGAGGCCACGGCCGCTTCACCTGGCGTGGGCAGCTTCCTGGCTTTAAGGAACCCCAGGACAAGACCGAAGACTGGAAACCATTAATTTGAGTCAGGCCGCGACTTTGTGAAGACATGCTTCTGCGTCGCGCTTGGCTGAGTCGCCGCTGAGGCCAGGCTTTTGCAAGGAGATCTCGATGATTGCAGGTGGAACCGGACTGACGCCCTGCTTGCAGGACGGGCGACGTTTGCCCTTTTGTGTGTGGATGTGGGAAATCCTTGCGTCGGCCTCCACAGGTGCTGTCGGCCATCATGCGGGATCCCAAGGACGCCACAAAGGCATCCCTCCTGCATTGGGTGGGCTCCGGCTGCGAGCCGATGAGCACATTGCTGCCGCACCTTGTGGCTCGTTCCTAGCTCTCGTCGGGTCTAGGTTCGTCTGCTCTATGCGAACAAGTCCTCTGGCGACATTCTTGCCCGCGAGATGCTGGACCATAAGATGCGGGTCTAGCTTGCAGCACATTGTGGTTGTTGGCCTCTGAATCTCTGAGATCTTGTGAATCGTGTGTTTCGTGGTCATCCGAAGACGGAGGGCAGAACTTCTTTACGATTGTATATCACTGCCATTACTGTTCGTGGTGCTGGTTGTGCGGAATGCTGACCTTCGGCAGCACCAAAGCCAGGAGAAGCTGGCCGCGGAGAATCCGCAGCGGTTCTCCTTGCATCTGACTCTGGACAGGGCCGACAGTGAGCAGCGCCTTGGTCGCCATTGCCTTCTGCACCGCGCTGCTTGAGCTCACTTCACGGATCCACAACGAACCTGCGTGCAAGGTGGAAGGGCTACGTGGGCCACGTGAATGCTGAGATGGCTAAAGCATCCTTGTTCAAGGCTTCACAAAGGGTCATCACAGTTGCCTCGACATGCTGCCCACTCTGCTCGACACGTTTTGCCAAGCCTGTTGGGTTTGCGAAGCCTCGGATTCAGGCCGGACACGAGACGATCTGTGCGATGTGCGGTCCGCCAGCGATGCTGGAGAAGGCACACGGCGGTTCTATGCCAGCGATCGAGCCATGTAATGAGCTCAGTCTGCATGACTACGTAAGCCCATGACAAGCCCGCGAGCAGCAGAAGCGCTCGGGCGCGACGCCGACGCCTTGGAAGGCTTGCCATCCTGCTCTGGCAGAAATGGGCTACAGCAAGAAGAACATCTTTGAGTTCTGAAATATGCAAGCGGAGCTTGCATGCTTGTTGGGCTCTGGAACCCTGTACAGTGGCAGGGCGTTGCATCTCCGCTGATGCAGAATGTGGCGCTCGTGTCGTCCAGAAATACTCCCTTTCGGAGACTGGGGGTACCAATGCATAAGGTATAGGGCAGATGACTTCACTTCAAGGAGGGTTCCCAGCCAAGAGCGCGGGACGTGGCAAGGGTTGCTTTTCGACGGCAGCGATTTGCTGTACAGCAGCGACCCGCACCCTCCTCAAGCATACAGTCTACTGTAAAGCATTGTACAGCATGCAGCGAGCATGTGCCTGGCCAACCTGCGGCCTGTCCAGAGGTTGCGGTTCTCGGCCCACGAGTTTGTACAGTGGCAGAGGTCACGAAGCGACATCTCAGGAGCCTTGCCGGGCCAATGGCAGCAATGTCCAAAAGAAGCACTGAAATGATGGCCTGCTTTTTTCCCAGATGGTTCTTGTCATGTCTATACATTGTGGGCATTCGAGGCGATGAGCTTGTACTCAGAGCCCGTTTTGATGGAATTTGGCCCCCAGACATTGCAGTCCTTCGGGCCATTGAGTTCCTCATTTAAGAGCAGATGCAACGGAAGGAGCGATCGAGCCTTTGCCAATCTGGCAATACCCATAAAACCGATGATGCGCACACATTTCATGTTGGGTAGCTTGTAGATTCTGCCGGGAGAGGGGACATCTGGCTGGCGCTCCGAACATTCCCAATGGCGGGCGTGGTGGAGCAAAGCGATTCTCGGCCCGATATGCTGCTCATGGTATCTTAGTCTGCTGCATGCCGCCAGGCCAATGGAAACCAGAAAGCTCGTCCATGCAGTCCAAGCACCGTTGCCGCTGAGGGGACACGCTGGCATGACAAGGAGCGTCCGCCCTCGGAAGCAGATATCCCGTGCTTTGAGCGACAGGCACGGATCGGCACATCCCGACTACAGCTTGTGCATGATCAGTAGCAATTAGCTACCGTTAGCCAGAGAAAACTAGCGGTCAGACTCGTACTGAGAAGCTGGCTCGTGAGAGCCATGGTTAATGATAGTCGAGCTGGCAGACGTGGTAGTGCGGCTAAATGAGACTGGGAACATCACTGAGAAAGCTGATGGTGCAACAACGTTACGTTGTCGATACCTGACTCAAGTGGCTCAACAAAACAGCAAGAGCAACACTAGTATTCATCTTTGACACCACCGTGGCCGCCGCTGCCACCACCACCACCAC